AAAAAAAACATTAAGTTTGCATATCTGATGTAAAAATGCTGAGGTAATATTAATTGCTTAAAAAAAACCCACCCATCTTTGCTTCTGTTATTGCTGAAAAAGACTTAATACTGACTGAGTGATCTTACTATACGAAAAGTGGGAGAGAGGACTCTGCCATTCTGGTGAGGCATGATGTTCCAAGCCAGGAAAAGAATGTAAATGAAGAGGTATAAAACTCCAGTTCGTGTTTGTTATCCTTGAGATTGTGAGGGAGGGAGACAGTCCAACCCCAGTAGGGTTTATTCTTCAGCCTTTTCATGGTTGCTGCTGCAGGAGTTTTTAAAGCTAATTGCTCCCATCCACTCAGATTCTATTTCCAGATGAATCCTTAGAAATAAAATTCACGAGTTCTTAATAAATAAATGCGGTTCCTCCTGAAGACACTGGGGAAAGTGCAGAGCGGAGCACCACAGCACCCTCTTGCTGGCCTCCGGAGCTGGGCTAGATTCGGATCTGATAGCCCACTTCATTCAGGGTGCTGAGATCCACAGCCTTCTTCTCAGGCAGAGCAGGCCTGGGAAAGCCCGGAAGCCGGGGGGAAAGGACAGGACAGAGACAGTCAGTGAGTGCTGCAAGCGCTGCTGCACCGTCCTCCCCACCCTTTGGACTCCTCCCCACCCTTTGGACGTCTGTCGTCCGCCCTCTGCCCACTTTGCAGCTCTGCCTGGTCTGAAGTCTACCTTTCTAGGTTTCAGCTTTCTATCAGGCTTGTCAGTGCGGACTTTAGAATTGCAGGGTGTTGAGTGAGCTTTCTCAACTTTACACCTGAATTTGGTCACGCTAGGACTTCTGAAACCTCGTGTCTGTACACCTCGTAAAAGTCTGAAAAGTCTCATGTAGTACGGGATTATAGTCAGTCAGATTCTCCTGGAAATCCTAGAATCTGCCCTAGGGGAAACCCAGGTATTACAAGGTGACTCTAATTGCCAGAGGAGAGTCTCAGGTTTTTTGTTTTTTTGTTTTTTTGTTTTTTTTTAGTAGAAGGGACTGAAAATTGGACCTTCAAACTGAGGCAGCTACACTCCCTTTTATATTTGAGACAAGGTCTTGCCGAGTTGCCCAGGCAGGCCTCAAACACGCCATCTTCCTGCCTTGGACTGCAAGTTTCTCAGCTACTGTTGATGGAGGATTCATAGGCTTCAATGTGCAAAATCAAAGTGAATCTGTTCATCTGAAAAAGCATGTCACTCACTGCTGAAAACTATTGCAGGAGCAAAGCACCTCTCATCCCTAAAGAGCATTTTGAAAAGTACTTTCCAACATAAAACATGTAGGGCCGGGGACGTAGCCCAGTGGTGCAGCGCCTGCCTGGCAAGCATGAGGCCTTGAGTTCAATTCCCAGTACTAATAAAAAAGAAAACCTACAAAGCAGTATAAAGCATGGGACCAAGAAAGTGCTTGAACTTGGGAGAAAATCATTTAGTAGCACATTAACCATCTTCATTAAAAGACTTCAAAAATGACTTTCTAACCTAACTATGCCTAAAACGTTCTCATGGCTTATCTTACAGTTTTTGTTCCCTAGTGAGCCTCTGATCACCATGGGGAAGAGATGACCAAGTTCAGGATGTTCCATGCCTCCTCACAGCCATTTTCACAAGAAAATAAAGGCATTTTTAGATCATACATGAACTATGTTCTTACGTGTTTAAAAAATAATTAGAGGGGCTGGAGAGATGGCTCAGTGGTCTAAAGCACCTACTTGAAACAAGCTTGGCAAAGCACAGGGACCGCGGTTCGATCCTCCAGCACCACATGCCAGCCAGCCCGCCCCCTGGTGGGCTGAGCTGGCCACACACACACACACAATAAATAAATGTAATAAATAAAAAATAAATAAATATTAAAAAAAAATAATTAGAAGTTTCTTAGTTTTATTCTTTGATTTTTTAGAAAAATGTGTTAAGTCTTTATGTATTTGGCACAGTGTCTTACCACGCAGCTCAGACTCATAGTGATCCTCCTGTCTCAGCCTCCCCAGGGCTGGGAGTATAGCTATGCGCCACCATGCCCTATTTTGGTGCCCAGCTTGGCACCTGGGGGCCTGCACTTCACGTGATACCAGGGATCGAACCCAGGGTCTTGCGCTTAGACCGCAGAGCTAAGATTTGACAGCGAATTGTTTTCCTAGTATAAAAATGGTCCAGCGCATTCAGCTAGAAATGGGCAGCTAGTGTCCACAGGCTCAGCTTGGGGAGCATCACTGGTTGTGGCGCACCTCCTCCCTCCCTCTTCCTCTGTCTGAGATGAGACCTTGGCCATCCACGGCCTGTGCTCGCTTGTCTTGCAAATGACCTCAAGGCGGCTAAGCAGCTTTCCCTCACCTGCTGCTCAGCCCCACTAAAAATAACTCATAATCTTAATTGTCTGTGTTCCACGGGGCTTATTTCTCAGCTTGACTGCATGTCCTGATTTACTGGTCAGGACCCAGGCTTCCTCCTCTTTATGTCTTTTTTTTCTTGGTTCCCGGGATCCATCTACGTTGCTAAGAGACACGGATGACAGAGCCCAAGACTTGGAGGTTGACTCTTGCTCCGTACATGAGCATTTGAGATTTCTGGCATCAGGCAGCAGTGCCCCCCTGACCAGCCATGCCCTGGATACTCCTAGTCCCTTCAAAGAGGGCTGCTGCTGGCTTGAACGAGTAGCTCAGGGCCTTGTAAGGACTGGCCGCTAAAAGCACTCAGTGTTGTTTAAGAGTTTGAGTTTATAGCTCTGTCCTACCCTTCGGGCCAGAGGTAGACAGAACGAGGGTTCTTGAAGAAGAGCCAGTTTTCAGAAGCCACTCATTCATCTCATTCATTCCATAAGAAGCCCCGCATGTAGCTGCTACTTTTTCTCCTTGCCTGGAATGGGACCACTTTCCGAAAAGCTAAAATTTGAGACTCTTCTCCCTCGAAGTAGACTCTCCCTATGTGAGCATCAGCCGGAGGCACATGTAATAAAGGGACGCTTATTTCTCATCTCCTAAAGCACTGCACTTTTAGAAAATTCAGTCATTCAAAATTCACCAGCTTAGGGTGTAGCTCAGTGGCAGAGCACTTGCCTAGTGTGCTGGAGGCCCTGGACTCCATCCTCAGCACCCCAAGACAAAATTCACCTGTGTGCATCCTTTGATGCAGAAAAGGATTAAACACAGGTCTTTTCCCACAGCAATTAAAATGGGATTTCCACACCCCTTTTCTTGGTATCATAACTATGAAACCTCCTTGCTTTTGAGGATCAGACTTGGATCCTTACTACACTCGATCAGAGGAAACAGTGTGTGGCTATCAACATCCCCTTTTCCTTTCTTTAGGAACCCCCACCCCAACTTTCAGCCAAACACACGGTTGCCTGGGGTACAAACTCCTGACTCCCTGGGGCCCACCCTGGTGGTGGGTAACTGCTAACCAATGAGATTACAGCACGGGTGTGGGGAGGCGCCTGTCCCCAGCACACCTCTTTAACCACTGTCAGGGGCCTTCAAGTCTTTTGCATTCACTTCTCTTCCTGCTCAAGGGAAGGGGAAGTGACGGTGGGCCTCGTGGTGGTCCCTAAGCACTACAGAGCCAGGAGAAGCCTGTTAGCACCTCTGCTCCGCGGCTTTGACCCCACAGCTAATCAAGTCACCTTTAAACCACGGGCTTCCACGCATCTGTGCCGCGCATTCGTACGGCTGCCCACCCTCACCCTGACTAATACCAGTTCTTTCCTGTACTCAGAAGTACAGCACTAATGCATGCGCGGTGCTAGTAGTGGGCAGGATTGAGGCAGCTTGGGGACAGCTTTGAGGGGAAGAGAACAGGCTCCTAGCAAGTTCTGATTCCCCAGGAGAAGCGCCCTGCCTACGCCGCGACAGGAGTCACTTCTAAGAGACCTCTGCAGCACTCTTACAGATTTGAGTCCCAAACCATGGTGGTGCTTGAGTCTCTCACTGTCTCTGAAAACTACACACATCATGTGCATAACTGGCTCCCCACTCTGAAGCCTTTCTTGCGCGTGCACTTCTTCCTCAACACCAAGTCTCACCTCTTCACCTGACAGTAAGGAAAACACGGCCTGGCAGTCGCTGGCTTGCCCTGGCCTGTTCTTGCTCAGCTCCATGAGCAGCAGCCACTCCTGGGAAGTCCACGGTCAGCCCAGGCCACGGGGGTGTCCAGGAGAGACCAGAGCTTGCACCTGGTGTCTGCAGAGTGGCCTTGCGGCAATCACGAGCCAACAGACCACAGGCCACCTCCCCTCAGGGGGAGGGCAATGTGGAAACCGGTAAGGTTTAATTTGGGAGTCTGGCCTCCTTTTCTAGAGCTTTCCTCAACACTTCCACCAGCTGCCCCGGAGCCTTCTGGGTGCCAAGAAATCACTATCTGGCACAGACCACCTGTCAGGCTTGGAGTCCTCTTTAGCTTGTGTGGCAACTCTGGGGCTCTCCCCTGCACAAGAAGAGGCTGCGGTGAAGCCAGGAAACTTGCCCAAAGCAGAGGCACAGTTAGCAAGAGGCCAGGCAACAGCTGGGCCCCAGGACCTCGCGCCCAGGCCCTGGCCACATTGCAAACTGCCCCATCCTCCCCGACCCTGACTGAAGCCCCTCCTGAGCATCTGGGAGGGAACCATGGCCATCCTGCTTCTGTGCCTGGGCTTATGCTGTCCTCCATCTGGAATGTCCGCCCGAGCCTAGCCATCCCTTGTGGTCCCACCCAAGTGCCACTTGTCCCCCTCATCATCCACTTCCTGACCTAATTCCTGTATTCACCTGTTAAAGGACCCTGCTGACTCACCATCACCATGCCTGCTCTGGAGCCTGTTGGAGAGCAGCAACAGAATCAATTCATCTGTGAGTCCCACTGCTGAATATGTGACTCTCAATAAAATTTGGGCAAGTTCTCACTAATGTGTCAACCTACAAGCTTCAAGCACAGCCCCATCTGGTCATCCAACTGCCCCTCTGGCAGGAATCGGCCAGGCCATGGTAGCAGGCCTGAGGCAAAGCCTGGTCAGGCTTTGTGCTCACCTGCTCCCTCCCTCAGGGCCAGCATGGCTCCTCCTCCCTCTCCTCTGCCCCGGACTGTGGCCACCAAGGGCAGACAGTTGAACTCACATCCACAGGAGCTTCCCCAGGACACCTCTGCCCCATGCCCATTCCCAAGCAGCTCAAGCCTCTGGTACCCAGCCGGGCTGAGGTCACCTTCCCAAGAAGCATCCCTCAGCTTAGGAGCTCAGAGGGGGCCCTGACCCTGGGGGCCCTGGCTCACTCTACTTGGCCCAGTCCCTGCTGACCTAACCCCTGACACCGTCTGTCTTGTGTCCTGGGCCCAGGACACCACGGGAGCAGTCAGGCCAGTGTTGAGGCAGAAGCTGCTCCTCCTCACCATCTCGGATGCTCACCTGCCTGCGAAGCCTTCCTCATCCCCCACTCTGGTTGGGTTTTTTGGTTTGGTTTGGTTTTTGGTTTTTCCTGGATTTCTCCCTGCTTTTCACAGGAAGAAAAGGATTTCTGCCTGCCTTTCTTCCTTCTGCCTAGGACATTTTCTTGTTTCAGATTTAAGGAGCGGGACGATGAATGACCCCATTTAAAACACCTTCAGAGTCACTTACCATGGACTCACATGTATCCTCTGTGACTTCAGCAAACAGCTGCTGTCCCCACTCAGCCTGATACCCAGCAAGTGTCACCCTCCCTGACACAGGGCCCAAGACTCAGTGTCCAGTGTCCAGCTCATGGCCCTGGCATGAAAGGAGCTCCATCTTGAGATAAGGCTTATCAGCCCCAGGGTGCTGAGGGTCCCCAGCAGGGAGCGGAGAGGGTGCTGAAGGCTCAAAGTCAAAGTGAGGAAGGAAAGGAGACAAAACAGCAAGGAATAGGCTGAGCTGGCCACACACACACACACACACACACATAAATAAATAAATAAATAAATGTTAAAAAAAAAAACACAAAAAACAGCAAGGACTAGCAGAGGAAGCACAGAGGGGACAAAGAGCCAAGGCTCCCTGGGGTGCTCGGGGCTGCTGGCCTCAGAGAGAGTTTCCCATGAGGCAGCTCCATTGTATGGGCTACTCCCATGCCACCACTGGAGCCACGCCAGAAAACCACTGTCTGCTAGGCATGGTGGTGTGCCCTGTCACCCCAGCCCTTTGGGAAGCTGAGGTAGGAAGACTGCAAGTTTGAGTCCTGCCTGAGCAACTTAGCAACTTAGCCAGATCCCCTCTCAACATAGAAAATAAAAAAGGGCTGGGGATGCATAGCTTAGTGTGAAGGCCCTGGGTTCAATCCCAGTAATATGGAAAAACCAAAATAAACCAAATCAAAGCAAACCGAATGTTGCCTGTTCTGTCTGACTCTCTCAGGCCTGGGGCCCAGGCAGCTAGCCAGGCATTGTGACCCGCAGGGACAGGACCCCAGAGAGGGGCACTTGTGGCATCTGTGGCAGGAGGTTCTCTGTGGTTTTGTTTGTTTGTTTGTTTTGTTTTGTTTGCGGAACCGGGGGATTGAACTCAGGCCCTTGTGCTTGCCAGGGAAGTGCTTATTCTACTGAGCCATCTCCCCGGCCCCAGGAGGCTCTCTGTGGCAGGGTGCTCCTGGGCCTGGCAGTGCAGGGACCATATGCAACCCCTGGCAGCCTTTCTCTTTCAGAACTACAGGGAACCCTTGCCTTTCCTGAGTGTGTGGATGGCTTTAAACACCCAGAGGGTGTGAAGATGCACAAGAGGAGGAGGAGGCCCGGTGGGAGGGGCGGCTCCCTGCCCAGGAAGCCTGGTTCAGCTGGTGCCCTCGTCTCTGTTGCTCACCACCCACTCAGCTGGCGGTGTCAGCCCAGTGACATGGATCCTCCCTGCTAAAGGGATTATTCTGATGAGTGTAAAAAAAGGAGTGGAATTCTCAAGCGAGGACAGAAAGCTACTAAAATTAGACCTGCATGGCTCAGAGTCTGAGACCCCACAGTGGATGGGATGGGCCTCGTGCCTGTTATGGGCCAAGCCTCCTGATGGGGGCAGATACGTTTAAAAGTGACCAGCTGGTCTTATGCAATGTGGAAGGAATAGCCACCATCCCACCCCAAGGTCCCTGGAGTCAGGGAGTCGCTGGGTCAGCACCACACTCACCCCTGTGTTCCTTGCTGAAAGTGAAGTTCTCTAGAACAAAGGCTGCCTGGTGAGGACCACCAGTAGAAGGGGTGACCCTTCCTACACAGGCACAGGTCTGGGAGCCAGGCTGTGCGGGTGACACCTGGAGAGGGAGGGATGGCTCTGGCATCCGGGGTGCTGGCCATCCCCACCGCTTGCAGCCCATCCTTTGGTTCTCATCTCCTGCATCTCTTCCCTCTTCTGCACAGTGGCCCCAGCCCTGCACCTCAGCAGTAACAATGTAGAAGGAATGGGACAGTCCCTGCCCTCCAGCCCTCCTCAGGACAGATAAAAATGGTGGCAAAGGCTACTGCCACCAAGCAGAAGCTGCCCTTGGGAAACTTCATAGGCTGCACAGCTCCCTTGAGAGTCCTATTCTTCCAAGGCCACCTGCCCCTTGTTGCAGGAAAACAAAAAAGGTCCCAAGATCCCCACCCACTGGACAAAGTTGATGGCAGATCCCTGGGACCACGCTCTCCCCGGGACAGAGTGGAGGGGAAGGGTATGAGACTCAGTGCATGGGTAGATGTGTGGCCACACTGTGCCTTCAAGTATAGGATTTTCTTTTTTTCTTTTTCTTTTTGTGGAACCGGGGATTGAACTCAGATCCTTGCACTTGCCAGGGAAGTGCTTATTTTACTGAACCATCTCCCCGGCCAAGTACAGGATTTCGCTGAATGATGACCCACCACCGCTCTGCTCCTGGGCATAGAGAAAGGAGGGAAATGGAAGACGCCCTCTTCCTGTGGGTCTTTGTCCCTTCCCCTGGTCCCCATTCCCAGGCCCATTCTGATACACCAGAAGGGAACCGGCAAGTGGGGCCCAGAGGGACACTCTGAGGTAGTTCAGCCGCGTCCGAGCAGTCCCCACTCAGCACCTGTTCTGGCCTCTTCAGAGCCTCCCCGCTTCTCTTTCCCGGCCATATCACTCAGCTACTGTTTCAATGGCTACTTCTGAGTAGATGGCTCCTCCATCTCTCTCCTGCTCCAGGTCTGCATTTACAACAGTTTCTAGAACATTCTCTGTAGAAATCTATGAAGAACCGGAAGTGCCACAGTCTAAATTCAAACTTGCCTTCTTCCTGCACATTTCTCAAACCACCAGCCCTGGACTTTTGACTGGATCCTGATTTTGGTCTCCACCACCAGTTACTAAGACATTCACCATCTTGGGCAATTGCGGCTATGTCTCCTGGCTAACAACAACATACCCTTACCAGCAAAGTCCCCCGAACGCCCAAGTAAAATCAACCCAACTGGACTCATCTTACAAATCACTACTGCAGCTCTGGACAGCTCCGCTCCCAAGCTAGGGCTTCCAGGTGCTCCTGCTCTAAGGGGAAGAGTGTGCCTGTATGAGCCGCTTGGCTTTCGCTGAGAATCAGGGCTCCTATGGGATGACTCTCTGGGTAAGAAGGGCCTTGGGGCTGGCGAGATAGCTCAACGATATAAAGTGCCTACTTAGGCAAGCTTAGGCAAGTGCAGGGACCGCGGTTCAGTCCCAGGCATCACATGTCGTGCCACCCCCGCCCCCAGGGTGGACTGAGCTAGCCACCAAAAAAAAAAGGAAAAAAGAAAGAGCATCAGACAGACAGAGGGGTGCCCTCCAACTTTAGGAGCTACCTTCTATTACAAGGCCTTCCCCCACCCCATGCCAATGATCTCATCTCCACACCGGGCTGCTACTTTGTTCATGGGTGGCTGAGTCAGAAGTCAGGGAGAGCGCATTAGAACAGGGGCCGAAATCAAGGATCCAGGGTCGAGAGGAGCACTGGGGTAGAGTTAGGGTCAGGAGGTCTGAAGGGAAGGTCTGAAGCCATCCGCTCCCTGGAAGGCCAAGCGCTACACAGGGACCCAACTCCTCTCTCGCAAGCTGCGAAAACTCAAGATCCTTAAGATCCCTCGCTCCTCCCTTTCCAGCCCTGGACAAGCATCCCTTAACCATCTGGGGGTGTCAGGGGATGCAGAACACACCTGTTCTGTGGAACTGAAAACATTTTGTCTCGCCCTATTCTTCCAAAAGCAGGCCCATACGCTGCCTCTGCCTGCCACCTTTGACACCAGAGATCTGAGTTCTAGCCCCACTCCTTCACCCACCACCATGGGACCCAGGACAATAAAGGCAGCCCTTGCTGTATCCTGGATGCTTCATTTGAAAGGAGGCAGTGTCTGATGTGCTTAAGTGTGAGCAGCTCACCACTAACCAGCCACAGCCATCACCAGATCTGTCATCCTTTCAACATTTTCTTTTTTAGTTCAAGATGGCCTTGAACTCACTCTGCAGCCTAGGCTGGCTTCAAGCTCAGTGATCCTCCTGCTTAGCCTCTGAGTGCGGGGATTAGAGAAATGTGCGCCACCACACCCAGCCAAGGAAGCACTTTTATCCTTTCATGGGTGCAGAAAAGCCCCTAAGGACCACATCTGCTCAGCTGCAGGCCAATATGCTGCCAAGCTGGGCTCCAACCACAGCGCCTGCACATGGTGCCACTGTTCTCAGCACAGCGAGAGATGAATGCAACACAGCACACTGATATTATTAAGAAAAGTGGTGCTTTTCCCCAGTAGAATTATGGCTCTTATCTTTGCTGGTTTTTCTGGGTGCCTTCAGCAGCTCCAAGGTCATTTGGACCCTAGAGTAGGTGTGGAATCACTAGCCCTGGGCTAAAGTCAGCCAGGGTGGACTTAGCCAAGGACGAGGGTGACATTGGGGATACAGCTGGTACCACCACCCACTGGCAGCAAGCACAGTTCACTGGGCACAGAAGACTGCAGGATTTTAGGAAATTCATGAACTCTAACAATTCTATTGTAGAGGTAAGAAAATTGACACACAGAAATGTGACAGAACATGCCTATGGTCACACAGCTCCTCCATAGTTGAGCTGGCTCCAGGCCCAGGTTTCCTTACCCCAGTCCCAATGCTCCTCCTGCCCAGCCTGGACAGCAGGCTGGCTAGCACTCATTGCCCATGTGTGGGCCTAAGCCAGCCTTTTAGGAAGCAAGGGGGTGGTGTGCACCTTTCCTGCAGGGACCCAGTGCAGGTGGTCCCCCTGGAGATGACCATTCTTCCTGATGCCAAGCCCAGGACAATTCTGTCCCCCCAGGCAGATAATTCCATGGAATGTGCGTGCTTGGCCTTGAGCTAGGGAAGGGGAAATATCACTCACGACTTGTCTCGCCTGCCGAGCCTCCTTGGGGGACTTGCTGGTCTCCTTCGAGGTGACAGGGATTTCCCCCGGCTTCTCACCTGGGTCGGAGAGTGGGAACTTGCAGGCTTCAAGATCTGTAGGAGATGCAAGGGGTTAATAAGGGTGCTGGTCCCTGAAGGCCCCATCTTCATGCCTAACGAAAGCACTGTGGCATGGCAGATGCCCAGCCACCGTGTCCCTGAGGGTTAGGGACATTGGTCACCCTATTATACAGCGAGAACAAAGTATAAAATGCATAGAGTATAAAATGACTAACATCCCAACTCTGACTTCACCAGAGACATTGCACGCCAAGACAGTGCTGTGACTGTAACCTGAGTTGGCTTTAGGTCTGATTTCTGAAGGACAGTCAGCCCGAGGATCCTAACAGAGGACTGGTTCCAGGAATCCCACAGCTAAGCAGATCCATGGATCCCAAGCGCTGCAATAGCTCCATGTAACTTACACAACCACCCATAGGCTTTAAATCATCTCTAGATTACTAATGCAACATCAATGCTTAGTAGTAGTTTTTACGCTTATCATTTGGGGAAATCAGAAACAACAGTCTGCACATGTCCAGTACAGCTGAATTTTCCTGCCAAATACTTTTAATCCAAAGCTAGTTCATGCTGTGTGAAGATGCAAAGCTCACAGATAGGAAACGTCAACTGAAGCACATGCAAGGAGGCTTTATTTTTGGGGGGAGGCTGTAGGGTCCCACTATGCAGTTCAGACTCACAGTGATCCTCTTGTTTTCAGCCTCCCCAGCACTGGGGTTACAGGTGTGCACCACCATGCCTGGTGCTGGTGGCGGAGCTCAGTGTTCCCAGGGGTTGGGGGATAGCATGTGGTACCAGGGATTGAGCCCGGGTCCCTGCACTTGCCTAAGCAGGCACTTAGTCCACTGAGCTATCTCGCTGGCACTTGCTAGGAGACTTTCACCGTCTACATCAAGTAACAAATCACCTACCTTTTTCATTATAAAAGGGGAACAATAGGAGACAGGGAGAGAGAGGGGGAGAGGGATTGAGAAGAGCTCTCTTGTGTGTCTCCACTTGTCCCCGCCACCCACCTTCATCCTCATGTCCCTGGCGTATTTCTCCAGCTCCTTCCTTATGTCAGCCCTCAACATCTTGGAGACATTGAGGACCAGCTGCTTCCATTCGATGGGCTGGAAGCTGTGGGGCTCGTGGGGGACATACAGCCCAATCTTGACCTTCTTGACTGTGTGCAGGTATTTCTTGTAGGAGTCTTCAAAGTCAAAGACAAGGTCACTCAGCGTCCGAAAGGTCAGGGGCTTGTCCATCAGCTCAGCCCTCCGGCTCATGCCCACGGAGCCATAGCGGCCATTGCAGTATATTCCCAGCACAACGTGGTGAAAGTAATTTCCTGAGAAGTAGGTTTTAAAGCTGATGGGGAATCGCTCAATGGAAGGCTGCCCATTGGTTAAGTATCTCAGACAATCTGAGTTAAGGAAGAGACATCAGCCTTGAAAATTAAAGAGCCTGGACTCCCAAAAAGGGAAAACAAGCTAGTGAGTCAGTCCCTCTGCTTCCAAGAAGCCCCATATTGCAAACAATCATCTATCCTTTTATAGAAGTTTTAAGCATCAACTATTTGGTGCATTAAAAAAGCAAATGAAATATGGGACACAGAGAAAAGTTGTCCAACTGTACTTTCTTCCTTTCTTGGGAAGGAAGAGCTGCTTAAGGATTTTTGGTTTTTTAATCTCAATCATGTGATCAGGCTGCCCATTATGGAATAGACCAGGACCTACAGGCTTACGACACTGGTCCTGGTCATAAATGAAAACCAGGATCCAGGTCCTGGAGACCGGGAGGCAGACTGGCTGATGACTTCACGGAGAGGAGTGAAGGGGCACGGCTCACCTCGCCTGCTGTCTCACCAGCCTCACCACCTGTGCCAGCAACCTGGGCTCTTGTCCATCCTTAAGTCACAGGGCACCACACCTTGGCTCTCTCCACTCACTGGCCTGCTGGGTTTAGTACCCACCTCTCTGCCACCTGGGTTTTGGCCTGGCCACTTCCCATGTAGAATGCTAGGCACCTGCATGCCCTGGAAGGAAGGAAGACCACGAGGCAGGGTGTCCTCTAGCGCATCTTCAAGCCCCACAACAGCCTGGCCAGGCTGGGTCATCGCTCCCAGACCCAGCTTTTCTGCACACAGAAACCAGGAACTCAGCTGCATGGGTCTGCTCCCACTGCCCTCTGCTCATGGAATCTCCATAATATGAAGTGTAATGGAAGTAAACCTTTAGATGACCTTCAAATGGCCTTTACACCATACTTTTAAAGTCACAAAACAACTTACATCCCTGCTGTAGAAATAACCTACAGTACCACTCACACATCAGCCCTACGGTGTGAAAGACTCCACCCTAGCAGATATCATTGGACCCTAGCAATGGAGCGGCTGGGAACTTTGCTCTCTGTTCCTGAGTTTATGACCTGGCCTGGAACAACCCCATGGTTCCTTCCCCTTCCTGGATACCAGGCCTGCCCTGATACCCCTCAGTCTCACCCAGGAGTCCCCTCCTCCTTCTGCCCCCAACAAGAGCACCACCCTGAACACTGGGTGCTTGTCCATCCTGTACCATGACTGCCCCTCTCCTGACTGGGCAGGGGCTGAGCCTGCATCCTGGTTTCTGCTGGGAAGGGACTGTGTGTCACTGACTGGAAGGGTGATGGGGCGAGTGCACCAGCTTCCACCTAAAGGACAGCACATGGCGGGGGGTGAGCAATCCCAGGCACCCTGAAGAGGAGGACCCAATAGCCCAGGATAGCCTTGTCCTCCACCCTCAGTGTAACCACTTCCTTGTGGCACACGGAGCATGAAATCACTTCCTGAGTCCTCTTTCCTGCTCTCTGTAGCGCAGTCCTCCAGGCTCTGAACCAGGATTTCTTCCGTTGGTGCAGCCAGTGTCATTGATGCCACTAGTGAGCATAGTGAGTGTCCCTGCGCCTGCTGGCTGGGGCGCTGTGGGGTCAAAGATAGGAAGGCAGATTTCTCTGGAGTCACAGCCACTGTGGACATGGGGGAATCCATCAATAAAACAGTATTTCCTTGACTCTGCAATTCCACTTGTGGGTATGGACTCAAGTAATTACAAGTGGGAGTCCAACAATTATTCACACACACGTTCCTAACAACATTAATCACAGCAGCCGTAAGAGGGAATTGACCTAAATGCCCATTGTCAAGTAAATGGATAAACCAAAAGGTAGCATCTCTATAACAAGGTCTTTAAAAAAGAGGTCCCACAGTGAGCCCTGCAGATATGGTACTGAGTGAAATCAGCCAGGTACAAAGGGATGGAGACTATAGGATACCCCTGACCCAAGGCTCCAGAATTACACTCTAGAGCCAGAGGGTGGAAGAGGGTGCCTGGGGCCAGGAGCAGGAAGGGGGCGCTGTTGCTTAATGAAGGGACCGTTGCCATGGGAAGACGGAAAAGCTCTGGAGGTGAGCAGCGCAGAGATGATACGCGAGACTGTGAATGTTGTGCGGTCACTAAATTGAACCCTCAGTAATGGCTAAAAGAGTAAACGTGCTGTGAAGGTTTTATCCAATTAAAAAAAAAAAGCAAAACACACATGATATATGATGTAAAAGAGGCAAGCCCAGAATCTCTGAGGGGGCAGAGGAGGGGCCTCGGCTCAGCCACATTGGAGTTAGGCTGATCAGACACACGGCCAGCTCAAGGCCATCGGCAGAGCCTTGGGACCCAGAGAGGGGGTTGAGCAGGCAGTCAGGCGCGGCTGGGAAGCAGTCTGAGCTTATCCAGGGAGCGGGCAGCAGCACCCCAAGCTTTTGGTCAATCTGCCAGCACCCAGCCTGGGGAAAAGGAGAAGCCGCCTATCGCAATGCACCCCTTACTTTAATCACCCACAGTTCTCAGTACCGCAAGCAACTGTCGCCACAGCCAGCCTCCAAAACAGTTGCCGTAATTCAGAAAACTTGAAACCAGAAGTCCTTGCATCCAGCATGCGTGCACAGGTGTGTACGGGCATTTCAGCAAGATAAAAAGTGGTCCTTCGCGAAGGACTCCTGCGCTAAAATACAAAGAAAGAAAACACCAGAAGGTCAGGTTAGTGGACGGGGCACCTGTGGCCAACGGACCAGCGTCTGGCTGTCAAGCCCTGCTTCTGTCCCAGGACCTGCAGCAGGGGGAGAGGGAGGGAGGCAAAGGCTCGAGTCCTCATTCAACATCCCCATGGGAGAACAGGACACAGGCTGCTGACTCAGCGAAAACGGAAGGCGAAGAGGTGGGACCTTCTCTTGTCTGTGTCCGAGAGTCGGGTTTCCCTGGGTTCCGCAGCGGGAACTGGATCTCTCCACCCTCTCCGCCTTCCTTGCCTCTTCTGAAACATCACATGGGTGAGAACAAAGGAGAATCAAAGGAACAGCCTGCAGACTGAAGCAGGTCTCGAGTCTCGCAAGGGCTGCAGCTGATTCCCGTGACGCAGTGCTTGGTGTACATCACCGTGGGACCGTGGGACCGGAGCCCGGGTGCATGGTCCACGGGCCCGGCAGGGGCATCTAAGGTCAGCTCCGCCACCCAGCCGAGGGCCCCTGCTTGTGTTCTCCTCCACTGATCTCCATGAGCCGATCCCTGGCAAATGGCTCGCCCCATTAAACTTGCAAGAGGCTCTGCTGAACAGCTGTGCCGGGCAGAGAGCTGGGGCCCTGGGCCATCTGCTGGCCGACGCAGCCCTGGCCTCCCCCACTGGGTTCCCAGGCACGCGTTTCATCTCCCAGGAAGGCCAGAGTTTCCACTTTTCAAATGTCAGCCCAGGCACCGTGGACAGTCCTGCGCCAGATCAAGCCTGTACCTGCTCCACGGATGACAGAAGCACCCGAGCGCTTACTGCGCACAAGGCCGGAAGAGCGCAAGCAGCCCCAAGCTGGCCCTTGTCCTTCCGCCCACTGTGCGTCTCGTCTTGCGTGCTTTTCCCTTCTTGCCTCTTCTCAAGTCCCTTCCACGAGCTTTTTGTATCCAGCTACGCGGGGAAACACTCATGATCATTTCGTCCGGACTTCTTCGGAGCCACTTCTGCCCTGCAACACGCACAGATCCCAAACTCTCTGCGTTCCCAGTGTGGGTCCCCACCACGAACTCACTGTACGAGTTCAATGCCTCGGATTCAATCTGTCCAATCTGAACTTGTGTCCTCATAAATCGGACCCTCCTTTATTACACAAGCCTAAAATGTGGGGTCATGGCTTCCTCTTCTAGCTCACATCTCAGACGCCCATGGTGGCACTGCCCATCTACTTCCTCCCCCTCCTGTCCCCTCACTGCTATGTCTTAGTGCAGGCTGGCACCAAAGGGAAGTGTCATTGACCTCTCTGTCACTCTCGTGCCCTAGCTCGTTCTCCACATTGCCTCCAAATCAAGAAACCTGCGTTTGCTGATGCCTTAGCAACTCCTGGCGCAGTAGGTCTCCAAGTCCCATTCTTCCACCTGGTGAAGGCTCCTAACACCACCCCTCTAACCCATCCACATCAGGGCCATGGCTCACACACGCGGTACATTCCCTCCTCTCCCAGTAGGCTTTGCGGATCCAGGGCCAGGGCTAGCTCATCTGCCCCCTAGGTGTGAGAGGTGCCTGCCTCTTCCTGCGTCATTTGTCTGCTCCAGCGCATCCTTGCACCTGTGCTGCCTGTCACCTTTGGAAAAAGATTGCTTTCCTCACAAATGGCTTCCCCTGGGATCCCATCTCTCAAACTCTGTCTCAATATCTCCTTTGTCACTGTCCCAGCACGCACTCCCCGGGACCTGAAGTATCTTTTCTCTTCTGCCTGTGTTCAATTGCCACCACCACCAATAAGTGAGTGGCATCACAACTTTTCTGGACCATAGGAGGTATGATTAGAAACTACAGCAGACATTTCAATGTATTAAAAAATTATTACAGTAAAAGGCATTACTAATTCCCTTCAAAATAGCCACCATACTGTATTACAGCAAGAGGCACAATGCCATGCGTCCCCCTCAGTAGACTCCCCCTCACTTCAAACACAGAGCCCATCATTCTTGCAGCTTTCTGAAACAGTTCTGGATGTTCTCTTTTGTGAGTGTCTTTATGCCAGTTGATCAAAAACACAGTGAATACTGTTGCCAAGCATCACCCAATAGAAAGGCAGGTTTGTAAAAACAAGACACTGTATCCTCATTTATTTTTTTCACCAGGTCTGGTACCTTGCAACTTTTGCCTCTTCCCCAAAGGTAAAATGACTATGAAAGGTAAATGTTTTGAATCAATTCAGGATATCAAGGTAGCCTCAACACAATTACAGATACTCACAAAAGAGGACTTCCAGGCCTGCTTCCGAAAGCAGCAAGAATGAGATATATGCTTGAGATGTGAGGGAGTGCACTGAGGTGTCGTAATGGCAATGTCTTTTTTTGAGACAGGGTATCTCTGTGCAGTTCAGGCTGGTGTTGAGTTTACTATGTAGCCCAGGCTAGCCTCAAACTCTGTCTGCCTCAGCCTTCCAAGTGCTGGGATTACGGGTGTACACCACCACATCCAGCTGTAATATCTTTTATTGTAATTCATCTTTAAAACTTAAACATTGGAGCCTGAAAGATAGCTCAGCAGACTAAATGCCTGCTTAGGCAAGCTCAGGGACCGGGGTTCGATCCCCGGCACCACATGTTGTACTGGCCCCTCCCCCAGGCACACTTAGCCGGCCACTGAGACCCAACGTGGTGGCACATGCCTGTAATCCCGGTGCTGGGGAGGTTACAGACCCAGAGGATCACTACGAGTCCCAGCTGTGTAGTGAGACCCTATGCCAAATACATTAAAACAAACAAACTTACACATTAGGCTGGGGAGATAGTTCAGCAGTCTAAGCACCTGCCTGGCAAGCACAAGGACCCGGGTTTGATCCCCAGTACCACATACTGAGCTAGCACTGGAACTGTGGGTGCACATGCTGGCCCCAAAACTGGGCATAGTGGTGCACACCTGTAATCCCAGTGCTAAGAAGGCTGAGACAGGAGGCCCACTGAGTCTGAGCTACATAACAAGACCCTGTACCAAATGAATATGTATATTCTTTTTTTTTTCTTTTTATGTTTTTGGCACAGGGTATTACCATGCAGCTGGGACTTGTAGTGATCCTCCTGTTTTCAGCCTCCCCAGCACTGGGATTACAGGCCGTGCCAGCACACCTGGTCTTTAAGATATATTTCTGACTGCACCACATACTCTACTCAGGCTGTACAATCAAGAATGGGGTAGGAAATGCAACAGAAAGTGTGAGCGGGACAGGCCCTGTGTGGGTCCACGCACCCAGTGAGGACGCACTACCACTGCTTGGTCTCTGTTGCCACCCGCTCTCTAGTTCCTGATTCCACCTACCCTGAGGGTCTGTCACACCCTTCTCTCCCTCTAGTCCTCAAAGTTAGAATTCTCCTTGAGACTAGAGACTCCGCAAAGCCATCGGGCTGAGCTCAGGCCCTGGTGGAGGCTGCAGCCAGGGCCCTGGTGGAGGCTGCAGGAGGGCCCTAGGTGGAGGCTGCAGGAGGGCACTAGGTGGAGGCTGCAGCAAGGGCCCTAGGTGGAGGCTGCAGGAGGGCCCTAGGTGGAGGCTGCAGGAGGGCCCTAGGTGGAGGCTGCAGGAGGGCCGTAGGTGGGGGCTGCAGGAGGGCCCTAGGTGGAGGCTGCAGGAGGGCCCTAGGACTGACACTGCCCAACTTTGCACAGGGAAAGTTAGAGAAGCACAGGGAGTTTAACTATTTCCTTCAGAGTGACACTGGGTGCCATTGTTCTGAATCTAGATGTTAATGGCACAACCCGCTCCACGGCGAGGTCATTGCAGATGCAGTAAACGTAAGTACACATATAACTTCAAGGATACATGCCCAGGATGACAGCTTCAAGGCATTTGATCGGCAAGGACTCTCGGGTCATTTCCTTTGCTGTTTCCATTAACCTGTTGGATAGAGCACAGCGGAGGATCTCAGGAACCATTCGATTCTGCAGGCAGTTTGTGTGTCTCTCAATCTATCAGCATGCATTCTCCACACCAGGCATCAAGCCCACAGCTGCACTGAGCAGGTTCCCCACTTCCTGCCCTCCCCAAGAGTTAGTGCCCACAGGGTGGCACCACCTCGCAGCATCCTCCCCCTGCCAGTTGCTCTTCACCCCAGGGAAGTGGCTGTCAGACCAGCTCGGCCCTCTACCTCCACTCCCTGCATTCTAGGACATCTGGGCGCTGAGATTCAGGGAGTGGAGGTTGGAGGTTGGAAGAGCCAGTTGGCAGCTCTTGGGGCAGAGGGGGATTTCCAACCCATAGCTCATGTACCACTTACCCACTCAGTGGTCTCATTTTCCTAATTTCAAAGAACTGGGTCCCTGTGTGATTATACCTGTGTGAAGTATGTAAAGGGAAAGTGACAGAAAAGTCCAACTGTCCCAGTCACCTGGGGGGGGGGGATATGCACACAGATTTCTCAATGGGATTAGAAGATAGGGGCTCCTTTTGAGCAGCCGCCCCTGGCCACAGGTAGCTAATCACCTCTAAGTCCTCACCTCTCTGCCCTGGAAATCTAATTCTTAGGCCCCAAAGCAGCTCCAACTTTTGTAATAGCTCCTCTTAATCTGCTTTGTATTCTGGTTCATTGAATAGATTTTTTTTTTTTAATGTGTTTGGTACAGGGTCTCACTATGCAGCTCGGACTCCTAGTGATCCTCCTGTTTTCAGCCTCCCCAGCACTGGGATTACAGGCATGTGCCACCACACCAGGTCTAGATGTCTTATTTTACCTACTGTGAGGCAAGTTCTTTGAGAGTGGGGGCCATTTCTAAAAATGACTTTTATATCACTCAAAAAGCTTGGCAAGTTTGCAAATATTATTAAATGAGCAAGAAGTGAATGAATGGATAGGTGGACAGATTGATAGATAAATGGGAGGATGGATGGAAGACTAGAATGGACGCATGGATAGAAGGCAGGTTGGTGAGATGGATGGATAGAGGGAAGGATAAAATAGACTGATAGAGATGACAGAAGAAAGCCAGGCCGGACGAGTGACACACAGTGTTCAGCAGCATACAGATGCAGCAGAGTTTACTGTAGAATCATCACCTTTTCTTAATGGCACTTGACGCTGATTACTAAACCTGAAAAGATGGTACTATTATCCACATTTTGAATTTAATTGCCTGCTCAGAAGCTCTCGGGGATGGCAAGCCTGCCGCAGGCCATTCTGGGAGAGACCAAAGACTCTCCGATGTCATGCCCTCTGAGACTGGCCCTTGATTTTTCTCAGCTTACAGGAAAGTTGCTTTGTATATGTCACTCTTCAGCCTCAGACAAAATTTTATCTTTGCAAATTGCAAACTGGGAGGGGGCCATTGCAGCCTGCACCGAGGCGGCCTAGAAGTGGTTCCTGCCTAGGCAGCCAGGGGCCTGGTCCAGTCCTGAGATGTGAAGTATGCACTGCAGTGACTGAGCAGGTGCAGAGGAGGTGCACCGCGCCCCCAGAGAGCCACCAGGGTCCCCTGCTAACCCAGATGCGCTTGGCGTTGACAACAAGGGCACACGTAAGAAGCCTCTGTGGACCCAACAGCAGATTCCAGGCACCGCCCCCGAGGCTCTATTTCAGGCTGCGGACCCCCAAGTTCTGGGGCGAAGACCCGGGGTGACTCCACCAAGTGCACCAGCTTGGCAGTCAGGGCTGCAGTCGCCACTAACAGCGCAGATGCCTGAAGTTCCTGAGATACGACCTACAAAATCTTCGAGATGAGGAGGAAGACGAGGAACTAAATATTCTCATTGTGATTTCTTTTGCCAAACATTTTAATCAACTAGCGCAGCCCCAGCACATTTAAAGTAGAATTCCATTAGCACTTCCAGGCCTGACTTTCCCCACTTGTATACCTCATTTGTAAGTGGAGTTCATAAAAGAAGACAGACCTATAATTAAATAATTAAAAATCAGCTCCTCACTGTTATTAAAGGAGCCCTGGACTGGAGTGGGTGGGAAGCTCCCTCCCTATGCACTCCCCGCCCAGGAAGACCTGCACTGGGTGTCTGTCTTCCCAGCCCCCACGCAAGGTCAGCAGTCCAGCGGGTGGCCACTCAGAGGCTGCCCCACAGGGGAAGGCAGGATTTGTGTTGTCTGTCCACAGCCAGCTGAGCACACCTGCGGTCGGGTCTGCCGGTCCCCAGGCCCTGACGGCCATCCCCAGGTCCAAGACCAAGAGGAGAAAGGGGTCCCAAGGGGGTTCCTTTCTTGGGGGGGGGTCCCAAGAAAGGAACTAATATGCAGGTGGAGGGTAGGGGAAGAGCGCATGCTCGGCCTTCCTCCGGGGCGGCCCGCAGGGATGGGGCTCCTGCAGCCCTGTGCCACTCTCTCTACAATCAGAATGCATTTAGCAAAGGAAACTGAGCAGCGCAGCCGCCGGAGCAGCGATGAGAATTCGGCTGGTGGGTGCAATAGGGGGATGGCAGCCGCCCAAGGGACAAGGACATTGGGCCAACCTGCCCCGCCCACGCAGCCGCCCATTTGTTCTCTTCCATCTCTGGCCAGGCAGCCTTGGGAATACCAGATCCTACAGAGAGAAGAGGGAGCCATTCTAACTTGTCACCTTCTGGAATATTCATTCAGAAATGGCCAGCTTTTGGGGCCCCAGTCTTGTGCCCAAGACTCACCCCCGGGCCCCAAGGAATCCCATGTGGCGTGCAAGTTAGAGGGTCAGCCCCAGCACTGTCTCCCCCAGAAGCTGGAGTCTCTCTTGTAGGCCACCTGCTTCCCCCTCGCATTACCCCCATTTCCTCACGGAAGAGGCCCTGCAGACAGCTGCCAGTCCATACTGCAGGAATTGAGAGAATCGTCAAGACATCACCCCCCCGAATGAGCAGACATCAGGGTTACCCTGAAACACCCAACCCTGTGCGGGTGCTGCTGGTGTGTGGTCCTTGCAGGGGAGATGCTGAAATTCATGGGAAGATTTTTGCCTGTGACTGCAAGGAGGGGCTCTTCCAGAGCTGGTGGGACAGAGTCCTGGCCTGGAAGCCAGGTGTCACCGCCCTCCCATCACAGGTTCAAAGTACCGTGGGTGGGGTTGGGTCTCTGAGCTTCCTGTCTTGAGGAGGCAGGGCGGGATTCAGAGAAGCCTGACCCGCAGAGTGCTAAGGCCCACTCCCCACTGAATACTCCCCACACCAGAAGTGGAGAGGGGCCACACCTGTGCTCCTCGGTTCACACAGCACTGCTCAAGGTGCCCTCAGATTATTAACTGAGGACACAGGAGGAGAAAGGGACCCAAAGTGCAGCTAGCCTGAGCCCAGCCTGGACCCACAGGGCTGTGCAGCCGGTCTGTCATCTAATCTGAGCACAGCCAATGGCCTGGTGGCTGCAGACCCCCAAGGCAGCCCCAGGTGGGTTCCTGGAGGTCAGGAGTGCCCACGGATGAAGTCAAATACAAGAGAGAGAAAAACAGGAACAGAAGAATGGGATAGAGGAAGGAGATGGGTATTCAGTAAAGGCAGGGAGGAGAGGACAAAGATGGGTTAGAGGAAGTGCAGAAGGGGCAGAACATGGATCCAGGGAAGTAGCAAAGGACAGGGAAGGAGGCTTGCGTGGACCTGGGCTCCGCCGCTGTCCTTGCCCACACCCAGCCTGCAGGGACAGGGTCTGGTCACTGTGGCCTATCCTCAGCTCCCTTTCCAGGTTCTGACCCAGGGGCACCCCTCTGTGCCTGGCCTGCGTGAGCTCTGGAGGACCAGTAGGGGACCCCCATGCCACCAGGCGTGTGGTGCCCATCCCTGCCCCCATCCCCACTGGAAGGATACTGTAGTGTCTTCATGTAATTCTGGATCGCCTGCAGCCAGTCCGGGATCGTCATGGACAGCCTGTAGTTTGGGACCTGGGGTATTGAAGGCTGCAGAGAAACAGAGACAGGGATCTGTTTACCAAGGAGGCTGGCACATGGCTGCCATCCCCAGAGAGAGAGAGCTCCTGAGAGCAGATAGCCACCCTGGCATGGCCACCTGTCCTGGTACCTAGAACAGTCTGTCCGTCTCTGAGCTTCCCCTTGAAGAATGCTTTGCAGTGGGCTCTGCTCCGGACACAGTGGGTCTCTATGGCCCTCCAGTGTCACAAGTGTCGAGCAGCTGGTCTCCACGCACCTAAGTGCTCGGGGTGCACCTAAGTGCTCAGGACGGACACACAGCTGCTCCATTCACCATAGGACACCTGCTGCCGTGTGGCCAAGGAGGGCACTAAGCACGTGGAGCCCAGGCTGCAGGGTAGGCTGGGTCACCGCGGCAGGGCCCTGTGGGGCACCACATCTCACTTCCACTCTGCCTGCTGAGCCCACCTCACCCTTCCCGGGTCCCTTTCCCAGCTTGCTTGCCTCTTCCTGTCTTCCCTGTCCCCAGATCAGATGGAGTATTCCTCTGGTCTCTGAGCCCTGCTGGCCACACCATCACCTGCTTGTCTCTTGCTTTAGACTTAACCATATCTACAATGCAGTGTGTGGCTCCTGGTCCCCACAGGATAAAGGACCCTGGGACGGTGAGACCAAGCAAGGGAGGAAGGCTTCTCTTCCTGGAATTTCAGACTAGGACTGCCCTCTGCTCTGAACAACACTGCCAGGAGTTGGGGCGCAGGACTGTGAATAAACTGGGGACATCAATGGGGCTACTCCCAGGAAGCAAGGGATGCTGGCAGTGTCGCCTGTCCACTGGGTTTTCAGGCTTTATCCCCTGCCCCCCACATTTCTGCATCTCCTGACCTTGGTTTGCCTGGTGGGGTGGGGTCACTGGCGACAGACCCTCAGTACCATGGGCCCAGGAAGGAGGCAGGAGGCTCAGAAAAGGCTAAAGGGAAGACAGGTCCCATTAGGGGGTGGGCAGGTGGCCTCGGGGAGTGAGGCTTAGCAGACAGAAGAGGAAGCTGCTGGGAAACATACTCGGGATGGCCCTGAGTAGCAGAGCCAGGGGCTGCTGGCAACATACCGCCTCCCCCCTCTAGGTACCAGCTCCACAGGAAGCACGGGATGCCAGGCTGTGTCCCAATCCCACCTCTGTCCCTAACCCACTGAGGCACTCAGGCTCCTTCTCTCTGGGTCCTTCCAGTCTGTCTTGGCTCCGAGACACCCAATATCCCAGCACCTGCCCCCCAGCTGAAGACAACCAGTTATACTTCCTACATGACAGCCAAGACACTGCGTGTGTGTGTGCGCGCGCGCGCGTGTGTGTGTGTGTGTGTGTGTGGCTGTGTGGGCAGACACAACCGTTCTGCAGGCTGTGTTTTCAGTACAACACCTCCCCTCATATAAATCACATCCCTGAGTCATTTGTAGGCACAAAACATTCCAGTTTAAACACACACACACACACACACACACACACACAGCCCACATACAATCATAATAAAAGGCATCAGCGCACAGGGATGCCTGCCTGTGATCCAGCTACTTGAGAGGAGGATCATGTGAGCCTGAGTTCTAGGACGGCCTGAGAGACACAGCAAGATCCAGCCCCCAAACAAAACCAAGACTGGGCATGGCGGGGCACGCTTGTAATCTCAGCACTCTGGAGGCTGAGGCAGGAGAATAGTTGTGCGTTTGAGACCAGCCAGAGCTACAAAGTGAGCTCAAGGCCAGCCTGAGCTGCATAGCAAGTGCCTGTCTCAAAAAGACAAAAAAGAAAAAACAGGGACCCTTGCGTTTCTACTCAGCAGCACTTCTCTGGGAACCACCTTTCCTGGGTCCCAGTCCTCTAGGGACACTGGTAACCACATTCTTTCAACTCCCCTCAACTCCGGAGCCCCCAGGGCAGCTCAACAGTGGGAGCCAGGCAGCAGCTGGGGCTCAAAATAGCAGCCCTTGTGCCCAAGGGCTTTTAAAAACAGCTGCCTGGTTACCTCAGCCCTGCTGAGCTGGGAGCTGCGGCCACATTTGCTCCCAGCAAGGGCTGTGGGGGAGAAGTCCTGACACATGGAGTGAAGCCATTGGTACACCCTGCCCTGGGGGCCACCCTGGCTCTCCTAGGACTTAGAGGATGATCCTACGAGACACCGCCCCCAGCTCCGTGGACTCCAGGTTCAAAGCCTGCGCCTTCAACACCTGCTGTGCTCCGTCAGCCTCTCCCCTCCTCCACCTCCTGATGAAATATGAACATCACCTGCTTCCCAGCGCCCCAGGAGGGCATCAGCAGAGCAGGGCCTGGGGCTTACTGCCCCTTAGGCGTAAGCTGTGTTGGTAGTGAACAGTGACACGCTGTTAGGGGCACAGGGCCAAGAGGGACCCCTGTTCCAGATTCCGATTCAGGAGTATCCCATTCTAAAGATGCCCTCTCTCCATCCACTATCCCATGTAGACAGTGAGTTAACTTCTTTAATTCATGAGGAGGTCATATAAAGTGATAACTCTGAAGGCTCAATTTTAAAAATGGACCCTAAAGGGGCAAGCTACCCAAGAGTCTATGGTTGGATGAAAGGAATAAACAAAGTATGGTATATCCATTTAGCGGAATATTATTCACCCTTTAAAAAGGTTAACTTGGCACATGCTCCAAGATGGAGGAACGTTGAAGACATTTAGCTAAGTGAAATAAACCACTCACAAAAAGGCAACCATTGTGTACTTTCTTTTATATCCTTCTCAAGTTGTCAGATTCCAAGAGACAAAAAGAGTGGTCGCCTGGGGTGGAGGTGGGGTGTTGGTGTTTAATGCGCACAAATTTCAGCAGAGGAAGATGAAAGAATCTTGAAATAAGCCTTGGGGACAGAAGCACACTAGGAATGTGTTTATTGCCACAGAACCGGACACTTAAAGAGAGCTTAAAATAGCAGATTATTTATGTCTATTTTACCACAACAAAAAAGGCCACAAAAACAGGAATTCACAAAAGAAAAAATATAAATAGTGAACAAAAATCGACAAAATTCAAGTTCACTAATGATTCAGGTAGCCAGACTGAGGCCGATGAAAAGCCGGATGTCGCCTCACATACTTTGGTCCCAGCACTCTGGGAGGCCAAGGTGGGAGGATCGCAAGTGCGAGACCAGGGCTGGGGATACAGCTCAGTATGAACCTGGGCTCAATCACTAGTACCCCCAGCACCAAAACGGAAGACAAAAAGAAAAAAAGTCACTGAAAAATGTCACTTTCTGGCCGGGGGCTGGCCAGGGTGCTCACGTCCAGCTCTGGTGAGGCCAAACTCAGTGTGGCCTGGCAAGGAAAACCTGGGCCACCCCTTCTGTTCTTGGGCTGTGGCCCTGTGCACCCTCCAGCCTGGAATTCCAACCCAGACCCCTTGACCAGTACTTGCACCTCCGGCCACCCACCGAGTGCTGCCACACCAGGGCAGAATCAAGGGAAATGAAACTGCCCGTGGGCCAGGGCAGGCGGCCAAGAGGCAAGATGATGAGATCAAAGAGACAGCCCAGGGAGAGTGACCTGTCCAGAGGACACGAGGGACGAGGGACGAGGGACGGGGCGGCAGCAGGGGCCAGGCACCAGCTGGTTTTTTTTTTTTTTTTTTGCGGAACCAGGGATTGAATTCAGACCCTTGCACTTGCCAGGGAAGTGCTTATTCCACTGAGCCACCTCCCTGGCCCACCAGCTGGCTTTGACAAGAACGCAGAGAACACTTTTGTGTGTCCAGGCCCGGGAACCAGCCTCCCCCAGAGAAGCAATGGGGCAGCACCTGAGGCCAGGGATGGGCCCTGCCTCCTGGTTGGGGCAGCCAGGGCTCTGCTGTGATCGGCTTGGTACAGAGGTCTTGTCACGGCTATCAGCAAAGCAGGATGGACAGATGGGAAGGTGGCCCTGGCCCCGGGACTGTGAGCCTCAGGGTGCAGGTGAAGACCCAGCCCCCTGCCTGCAGGAGGGCCTAGACTGCCAAGCAACGCACACCTTTTTCTTTTTTCTCTCTTTCCCTTTCTCTCTTCCTCCCTTCCCTCCTCCCTCCCTTCCTCCCTTCCCTTCATCCTTCCTTCTTTTTCTTCTCTCTTTAGTGCCAAGAATTGAATTCAAGGGCTTCACATGAGCTATATGCCCCTGCCCTCTTTATTTTTAATTTTGAGACAGAATTTCACTAAGTAATGAAATGAGTTGTCCATGCAGGGTTTGACTTGCCACCCTCCTGCCTCAGCCTCCCAGAGTGCTGGGATGACAGGCATGCTCCGCCACACAGAGCACACCACCCCTCATCACTCTCACTTGGACAAAGCTCGGACCCCTAAAGGCACAAACCACAGGTTCCGCAAGAAGCCAGCTATTTCCTGCGGAATCCACACGTTTCCATCCAAGTACTCTCCAGCCAGCCAGGCAAAATGCAAGTGTTTCCTTCTATGCCAACTGGTGGTGCCGGCCCCTCCCTTCTTATCCTGTCATCCTCCAATGATTCTTGCTGTTTTCTTACACAGTCTCTAAAAATCCCTGGGCTTGCCTCGTCCAGTGCTAACTTCAGCCTCAGGAAACACAAGGAAGAGGCCTGCAGTTATGGATTTGGGAGCAGAAGAACCTCCCAGCCCGGCCCACAAGAGACTTCTGGACCTTTAGGCTGAACCCACCATGGGCACTAACAGGATGTCTTGTTCTCCCAGGCCCTCGAAACCTCCCTGTGTTTTTGTTTTTTGTGGGGTTTCTTTTTGAGGCAAGTTTTCACTCTGCACGTCAGGCTGGACACGGACTCACAGTAACACTCCTGTCTCCGCCTCCCAAGTACTCTAGGTGTGCACCAGCCACCACGCCCAGCTCCCCAGCCTCCCTCAGCTGACAGCAAGGGAGTCCACACTCAGCTGACAGCAAGCACCGCCTTCCCTGCACCTCTCCACCTCCTCCGGCGCAGCCTGGTAACCCTCTTCTGTACATGGCTCAGCAGGACCTGAGTTGATGGAAGGAGAAAAGGGCCTGGAGAGCAGGGGACCACTGGGACTGTGCCAAAGCCGGGGCCGGGCAGGGGTAGGGTCTGTGGGTCTGGTGATGCCGAGCAGGTGCTGTGGCTGGAGAACCACCGTAGAGACAAGTAGACAAGGAAGCAAGGCTGAGTCCTGGTCTAGGTCCACAAGCAACCAGGCTGCGGGTTGTGGCTAAGCTTTCATGTGACTTCGGGCCACTGGGCGAACGGTGTGATGTGGCCCCTGTGTTGAAGAGGACAATGGCACTCTGTTCTAGGAAAGCAGCAGGTGCAGGTCTCAGTAAGAAGAAATCTGTGCTCAGAGCCACTCAGACAACACCAAGAAGGCTGTATTTTTGGGGACTGCCCCATGACAAGCTAGCAATTGTCCTAGAAAAGATAAAAGGCACCACCTGTGCACAGAGAAAAGGGACAGAAGCTGTGGCGTCACAGGCATTGCAGTTCTGAGGCCCCTAACGCCACAGACCAGCACTAGAGACCCAGAGACTCATGGGTCAGAACACCATGGGACTTCATAGTTGGAAAGAACTGCACAAAATTTGGTCCATTCCCCTTGTAGAAAGAAAAGGAAGGCCAGAGACCTGGAGCGGGGGGCCTGGCCACAAAGCTTGAAGTAGCATACAAGCACAGTTCAGCGGTCCCCTGCTACTCTTCCTAGGAAGCCTGTCCAGCAGCCACGGCTGTGTGGCAGCAAAGAATGTGGACGGACATGCATCCAACTCACAGGGTCACCCAAGAACAGAGGGTAAGATGTGGCTGTGGGTGAGGAGGGGATTCCTGTTCCAGCTAAGGTAAGAACCTCCCAGTCCCAATCAGGTGCAGCCCAATGTTGCCTGCACCTGCCCCTCAGGCAGGGAGCCCCCATTCCCAAGCCTTCAGAAAGAGGTAGGGGTGCAGCTGGGACATGGAGAACTGTCTGACCAATACTGAGTCCATGACTCTCAAACAGAGAGGGGTCCCTCACACAATGACACACTTAGGCTGGGGGTGAGGCCGAAAGGCAGCAGGGAACAACGCATCAGGCCTCTGTTCCTTGCCACCACCCCCTTTCAGATGTAAGGGCTCTGGCGCTTCGGGTAAATAAAGACTTTGCAGCCCAGACACAGGACACTTGTGTTGCAGGACCAGGCCCAGCTCATTAGGGCTGACACTCAAGCTGACAGGCTTCTGGCCAGGCTTAGGGATGCTCTCTGTGGCCAGCTCTATGGCCATCAGGGTAATGGAACCTGCAACTGAGCAGCAGGAAGTTGACAGAGCTCTGTCGCTTCCCTAAGGGCACATAGCCTTGGAGCTTGAGGGCTCAGAGATGCTCAGCTGTCAGCAGGCTGGGGACTCTAGCAGATGGCTTTCCAGCTCTCAGGTGTGGCATTCCTAGACCTGCTTTGGAATTTCCTGAGCTGCACCAGGGTAGCCAGGGCCTGGGGGACGCCATCCACCCACTGCACACAACCCTGGCTCCCACAGCTGTCTCCCCAGTGTGCACCCTGCTATTTTATATAACACTGTGACCCCACTAGGGGCCAGGGCCCTCTCTCAGTGACACATCCTTGGCTGCCAAGCCCAGTCAGCTTGCTGGCTCCCCTCCAAGAGAAAAAGAGCTTCGCTCCTGAGCCTCCTCTTTCATCCAGGGACCAATTCATCATGTGTACTGGAAAGTCCCTCATAAGCCACAGCCAAACTTCCTTTTTCTTTTTCTTTCTTTTTTTTTTTTTTTTTTTTTTTTAGCCCAGATAAGCAGGAAAGTGACAGTTCACTGTTTAGCAAGTTTCAGAGGTGAAAGTCGCTGGGGGTGGGGGGGATTGGCAAGAAGTCTAGAAATGATTCACACTGAGAGAAGTCTGACTGGTTGATTGCAAATTCATTCACAGCTTAATAAATCATTTTCTAGGGGCCTGGTGGGGGGAGCAAGAGATCTCAAAGAGGACAAGCAGGGTGGGATCCTTGGGGTTACCTGGTGGCTCCAGTTTCCTAAGAGCAGAGGGTTAAGAAAACAATGGAGTTTGGCTCCAGATTTGGAGAAACCTTGGCAGAACAGTGCACCTGGAGTGCAGGACATCAAGACCCCTACCTGCCCCGCCCCCACCGCTAAGGCTTCCAAAAAGCAAACCGCGGGTGGGATGAGAGGCAGGAGCCCTGCTCCCAGGCTGGCCCTACCCCCAGGCTGGCCCTACCGTCTCCCACCTTCCCTCCCCAAGCACTGACCTTTGCCAAGAAGGCTGCGTTCCTGATGGCCCCCACCATCTCTCCGCCCTTCGGGTGCACCTTGGCCACGTGCACCCACATGCGTTCCCAGGTGTGGCTGTCCATGGGAAAGCCGCTCCTGTTCACGTGAAACAGCACCCCGCCGTCTTTGTCCTCCTCCTCCGAGCCCCCACTGGTGGCGAGGCTCACTGGCCGTGCATGGCTGCTCCGGGACCGGGTGCCTTTGGCGCTTTTGGAATGGGGGCAGCGATGAGTGTCGGCCGCGGAGCCAGTCATGGTGGGGCGGGAGCAAAAGGATCAGCGCCCCGAGCGCGTGGCCTTCTCCATGCCGCTGGTGCTGCAGGACGCGCCAAGAGGGAGCGTGGCCGGGCTACAGCTCACGGGCCGGGCCTGGAAGCAGGAAGACCGAAGACGCGGTGCTGAACTGATGTGCAGGAGTGCAGGGGTGCAAGTGGAGGCCCGGGTGTCCCCGCGTCACGCCCCGCGGCTTTCGAGGGGGACAGGTCTCCCCACTCCCAACCCCGCACGCCGAGGAGCTGAACCCCAGCTTCCACCCTTGCGATTGCTGGAAAAGGGGCTCGGGGCTCGGAATTTGCAACCAGGCTTCACACCCGGCTAAGCCCGGGGCGGGGGTGCGAGGCGCGGGGGTTTGGGGGCATGCGGAGTGGGCCGGATAGGCAGAGGAAAGGCCGCTCCTGTAGCGTGAAGGCACAGAAGGTCCCCGCAAAGCTCCACACGGTCCTCGGTCCCCAGATGTGGCTGGGCAACAAGCCGAGCCCAGAACGCGCCGGCACGTGAACGGGCGAGCGGGGGTCCGAGCCGGCGCTGCAGGAGCCTCGGCTGGCAAAGGAGGCGCGGTTTCTTCCAGGAAGCCCCCCCCTCCCCGCTCCACCCCGTCTGACGAAGGGGCGGCCCCGGGGCATGGGAAGGAGCCCCTACCCTCTTCTCTGGAGTCTAGCGGAGGGCATCCGAGGGGCGAGGGGAGCGCGCGGCGTGGGGGACCCACCTGGAGGAAGCGCGCTTCATTGCGACCGAGCCTCTCCGGGGGTTGCGGGCGGTGAGGGTTGCTGCTGCCCGGCCCTGGGCTGCCACTGCTGAGGCTGCGGCGGCCGTCCCCTCATTCCATGTCCCATTCTCGAATGTTATTCTGTGACATAGAACCGAGTCACCCGGGCAGCCGCCGATGTTCTGAAGGTGCTCATTGGCCGCCGCAACAAAGAGGGGCGGGGCCTAGATTCGAGACTCCACCTCCCCGAGCTTTGTTGCACTCTGATTGGCTCTGGGCTCCTCCGGCGGGAGGGGACCCGAAGTAGGGAAGATGTGTAGCCACGCGAAATCCGACCGCTGTCGTGTCCCGGGATCCTAGCGGGTCTGGAGGGGTTGTCTATGGGTCTGAAGATCCGGTTTCCCCAGGGGTCGTGGCCCCGGGGACGGTTTGCATCAACGGGAAGCAGAAGAGAAGCAAAGCCACTCTAGAGTGACCCAGAGGCAGAGGAGGGCTGCGCATGTCGCCTGTCCCTGCCAGGGATGATGGGTTTGAGCAGAGGCTTAAGTTTTTATGTGTGTACAAAACTGAGTATGTTTTTAAATCCGACAAGTTTCCCCCGGATTACCAACTGGGCACAGCCTTGGACCCTCCGTTGTTGATCAGGGACAGTGAAGTCCTATAAACCAATTGGGTATGCAACTGTAGAGCCCAGGAGGTAAGCCAGGCCCTGTTCTAACCCCAACTGCTCTGTTAGGTTACAGGAGGAAAGGAGAGGCTACAAAGTCCGGGTGGAGTGGGCGCCTTCCACGCAGATGTGCCTTGGCCCTAAGGGGGCATCCCTTCCTTTTTAAGAAAGAGCTAGGAGTTTGGAGGAGCACCAGCCCACTTACTTGCAGGCACAGTTTTGCTGAGCTGGGCGCGCTGGACAAGTCACTTGCCTGTGCTCCGTTTTAGCACTCTGGCAGAGCTCTAGCTCTCGGGATCTGTGATTCCCTGTCTTGCACCCCGCGGACACGTTGGGATCCCGGGAGAGCCTGCTGTGCCAGGCCGCTGTGCCAGCTTCTCGAAAGCTGGGCAGAGCACCCTCGGGAAGGAGCCCTGAGACAGCAGCTCAGGGATGCTCAGCCCCACAGCAGCCTGAGACAAGCAAGAAGTGAGGGACGGGGCTCTGTGTATACCGAGTCCCTGGGCATAGCTGAGAACCAGAACTCGGGCCAGAAGACCTTGGGTCAAGACCTTGCCTGGCCCTGCACTGCTCAACAACTCAAGGCCCAGACCTGGGCTTTCTGCAGTCCACAGCCAGTGCAGCTGGCTATAGAGAAGACGAGACCGGAGGTTCACACAACACTTGAGTTTGTGCAACTCAGACTAATTCAAGTGGAATAAACACACTTGGGGGAAAAGTCAGAGAGTTGAAGGAAAAGTCTCCTTTCACAATGTAATTGTTTAGTTTTCACCTTCTGATTAAAAGAAAATGTGCCTCAGAGAGTGATCTATTTTCTCATTTAGAACATTCTTCTTCTTTCTCCCCACCCCTTTCTTCATCTCTCAAATCCACTACTGTCTCTAGCCTCCCTTGGAGTTCCCAGTCCAGGAGGCCTGGATTTCAGGGCCAGGTGGGTGGGAATTTGGCCTGACGGCTGAACAGAATAGCAGTGAACATGGAAGAATGGTAGGGGTCACCTCCTATGATGGCTCCTTTGTGTCCCCAAAGAGGCCAAGTGCAAACAGCTATAATGACCTTGTTAAACCAGCACCCCGACCCTGCTTTACCTGCCTAAAAAGTTGTTCCTGTTCTAGAAGCATATTTGCCCTTTAGTCCAGGCTACTGGTGGAGGTTGTTGGCTCATCTTTGCCTCAAAGTATCTCAGTCAAGGGCGAAGAGTGTTATTATTCATTTCCAGGGTTCCGGTGTCCCTTTTCTCCTTCCCCAGGAGTGGGGTGGGCCACAGCCAAGTGATAAGGCATATGATGGCAGTCATGAGGCTTGGCTACTCTTCCAAAGAGGTGCTGTGGAGGGCCCTGAGGCAGACCGTGCAGTTCCAGGGAAGGAGTGTAGCTCAGAATTCCGTTGCACTTGAGTGTTGCCCAGCACTGCGTGGACCAACCAAGGTGGCTCATTCTTTGAATGTGCATTTGGTGTCATGAGACCTTGAATCCACCCAGGCCATAATAATGAGGGGTTTTGAAAGGTCCACAGGAAGAGCAATGTAGTCATAGATGTGCACAGTGGGATAAGGCCAGTTTGTGATTTGAACAAGGACACCAGTGGCAAAATGCTTAGTCTTCGAGGCACAGCTGCTGCCTTTCCTTGCCATTGTGACAAGCACAGCAGAGAAGGGGTGGTGGGAGGCTTTGAAATGAAAAGAGCTGGGCTCAAACTGTATCTCACTATTCAAGTGTCAAGTACTGGGATTGGAAAAGCAAGACAACTGACCCTAATGGATTCTATTTCTAGATAAGCTCATGTGCTGAAGTTCTAACCCTAGTACCTCAGAGCATGACCTTACTTGGAAATAGTACCACACATGTGTAACTCATTCATATGATGTCAGTCCAATGTGGTTGAGGTCGCAGGGAGAATGTTTTGTGGAGATGAACATCAGGGAACTTGAGGAAGCCAGGAGAAAGGCCTGGACCAGATCTGTCGCTAGAGCCTTCAAAGAGGGCCTGGCCCTGCTGCTTCCTTGATCTCAGACTTCCAGCGTCCAGTAGGGTGAGCCAACACATTTTTCTGTTTGTGCTGCTCGGCTTTCTGTACTTTGTCAGGGCAACACTGGCCAATGGTACAGGGTCTCACTATGTAGCCCAGGCTGGCCTCAAAATTGTTGAGATCCTCTGCATCAATTTCTTGAGTGCTGAGATTATAGGTGTGCACTCTCACACCCACCTGAATACTTCACAAAAAGTTGAAGCCCATTGTATGCATTGTTATTTAATGTGCACAAGAAACTCATGAGATAAATTTCAAGTTGAGATGAGGGAATTCTAAGTAATTTGTCTGAGGTTCAGCCAACCAAAGGAAATGTTAGGGTTTGGATTTCAAGTATCCGTGTGTTAGATGCTTAGCCCTTGGCATGGTGCTACTGGGGAGTGGACAGCTTAAGAGGTGGGGCCAAGTGGAGGGTTGGAGTCATTAGGGGTGTGGCCTTAGGGGCTGGCTCCCTGGTCACCAGAGAAATGGTTTTCTCTGCCTAGTGCTCCTGCCTAGCTGTGTGGGCCTCAACCAGAGACCCACAAGCCACAAGCCCGCAGGGTCATGGATTCCAGTGTCCCAAACTGCAGCAAAATCTTTTCAAAAGCTGATCCCTTCAGGTATGCATGAAAACCACTCCAATTTATCTACTGGAGCTTCATTTCTAAATGGACAAAGGCATTTATGAAAGGTTCCTCCAAGAATTAGCAACCACACTTCTGTCTTCACATTCAGCCTATCCTACAAAGAGTGGCCTGGAAAACTGAGGGTGGAAAGATAAGCTTCAGGGTGGCCAGGCTATAACAACCATAGGGGGCTGGAGATGTCAGAGGTCCATTTCTGGAGAAGTACAGCCTCAACCCACCTCACCAGGAAGAGCTCAGACAAACGGAATTCACATTTAAAAATTACCACCTCATGTTGGGCATGGTGTCCCAGCATTATTGAGGCATAAGAATTTGCGTTCAGCCTGGGCCACTTAGTGACTTAGGAAGACACCCTCCAACCCACTGCTCCACCCCGCCCCAAAGCAAAAAAGGATTGGGAAGTAGCTAAGTGTGAAGACTCTGGGCTTGATCTCAGTACCAAATCAAACCAAGGGAAACCATAAATAACTAGAGTTAGATCTTTAAGGACTTCACAGACAGAAATAAGATGCAGAATAGCAGTGTTTTTGTTTAACATTTTTACAGAAATGGAAAAAAGGGGGGGCTGGCACAGTAACTCAGCAGACTAAGCACCTCCTTAGGTAATTACGTACAGGGACTAGGGTTTGATCCCCAGTACCACATGCCATGCAGGTCATGCCCCCTGGGCATGCTGAGCCAGCAATGACTGAGGCTAGGTGTGGTGGTGCTTACCTATAATCCCAGCACTGGGGAGGCTGAAAGCAGGAAGATCACTATGAGTCTGAACTGTGTGGTGAGACCCTGTACAAATGCATTAAAAAAAAAAAAAAAGAAAGAAATGGGGGTGGGAAACCCCACAAGCAACACACAGGAGAAAAGTAAAGAAGCCGCAAGAACTAACATGAAAAATGCAGTCATTGAAAGTGAAAGCTTATTAGATGGCTTGTCAAGTTGGCCTAATTACAAATAGACCCAACAAGTGGTTTTGTTTTTTGTTTGTTCTTGTTTTTTGATTTTGCTTCTGCCGGGCAGGTTGAGCGAGTCGGTGACTACACTTAGTCACTGGAGACTCAGTTCCACAGAGGTGCTGCCATTTTTAGCACGTGGCTTTTCGGATTTCTCTGGGTGTCATTTTTATTGCAGCAATCAGAAGAGGAAAAACAGAAGTGTGTGTAGGAAGTGTTTCACCAGCCAGGCCCAGATGTGGGGTGCCGCTTACTCTCAGCCCAGGCTGGAGATGACTGGGGTTCAATCCCGTGACCTCCACACAGAATAATCAGCTGCAGAGCGTGGAGAGACAGCGCCAAAAAAAATTCACACACCCATTGTAAGGAAGTAAAATGGTAGAAGGAGAGAGGTTGCCAGAATGTACCAATCATGAAATCCTGAAGAGGCAGTAAATGGATCGTTAACTGGTGGCCAGCTCGTACGCTCAGCTGAACTGAGCTATCACGGTGCTGGGCGTGGGAGGCCCCCCTGAGCATGACTGCCAGAAGCAGAAGAGGTGGAACTGGAGAAGCTGTGGAGAGGCTGTGAGGAGCAGCTGTGGGAAGCTGCTGGTACTCTTGGGCTGTTTTGCTGGAGGACCTTGTCATGCTGGCTTTCCTGATGAGCTTGACTGGATAGCTGTGATTCATTTTAGGGGAACTCTAGTCCTCATCTTGAGTGTTTCTTCTGGCTCCAGAGGGGAACCTGGCTCAGGGCTCTGCCTCGCTGAGAAGTTTGTCACATTGCCCTTCCTCATGGGTACTCACATTTTCTCATCCTTGGAGTTGCTCGGGACCTCACTGTTGCTGAGGATGGCTGTGGTACCTTTGCAGGAGTGCTGGTGCTTACGTGAGCGTTGC